GCAGCTGTATTGTGTTTGTTCTCTCCATCAGATTCCTGTCAACTCACAATCGACCCAAACACAGTACACAGAAACCTCCAACTGTCTGACAACAACAGGAAGGTGACATTTGTGGAGGAGGTTCATATCCTGATCATCCAGACAGATTTCATAACTGGTGTCAGCTGCTGTGTAGAAATGATCTCACTGGTGGCTGTTACTGGGAGGTCGAATGGAGAGGAGGCGTTAACATATCAGTGAGTTACAGAGCAATCGACAGAAGAGGAGACAGAGATGATTGTGAGTTTGGAAGGAATGATCAGTCCTGGAGTCTGAGCTGCTCTGATCGTGGTCCTCTTTATGTAAGGCACAATAACAGATACACATCTATCTCCTCCTCCTCCTCTGTCTCTAAAAGAGCAGCAGTGTATGTGGACTGTCCTGCTGGCACTCTGTCCTTCTACAGAGTCTCCTCTGACACTCTAATCCACCTCCACACCTTCAACACCACATTCACTGAACATCTTTATCCTGGATTTTACCTCAGTTGTGGTTCTTCAGTGTGTCTTTGCTAAGTTTGCTAAGTCTCATTAAAATACAGAAATACTGTCAACATTAGTTGCCATGGTGATCTAACAAGTAAAAAGAAAACATTAACCTCAACATACCTCACTAACCCTTTAATCTTATGCTGTATTTCACCCTTCAGCACAGGTGTTCTACAAAGCTTAGCAATACTCCAGATCCAAAGACAGGGCATTTTAAGCATTTGACTATTATCATCTGGAATGGTTTACCAAACCATGCAACATTAGTGTTTGTGAATGGTGTCAATTTGGGGGAAATAGCTGCATGAATCTAGTTTTAATCTAAAAACTTTCATGCGGTGTATTTATTGAACAGGAGTGTGTTTAAAGTGTCAGTCAGTAAATATAGCAGGAATGCAGCAGCAGGGCCAATTTTTTAGTTTCATTCTTCAGTGTCCACATAAAAAAACCTGAGCCTGACTACAAGGCACATTACGGCGAGAGTCTCCTGTTTTAAGAACAAAGAAAATCTCTCTCCACCATGTGATTGAAAATAATTGTAACAAACGTCTTCTTTAATTGTAAATGTGTCTGATTCGAAGTTGATGGTTTGTCTCTCTGTTCTTGTAAAACTACACTCTAAGATTCATTACTGGCTTTCCTTAAATATTTAGACACTTTCATTTATTTCCTATAATGTTGAATTGATTTGGTGGATAACAGTAATGTTCCAAAAAATGTTCACTTACTCTCAACTTTGGTATTCTTGTGAATATTCCTACATACCTGTAATTGGAAGAGATGAACTTTTAGTGTGTTACATTTGGACTTTTTTCCAAGTCAATTAAACTTGAAAACAAAACAGAATTACAGTCTAAAAATCATCTACATTTACAGTGTTTTGTGCTTCTTTGTGTTTCCTGTGGGTTTTAACGTTTTTGGGGTTTTTTTATTGATTGGTTGATTTGTGGAAAATAAACCAAGATTTACTGAAATCTTTAGTGGTGTATCCTGCTTCCTGCACATCAGTGATTAAGGGCACAGCTCAGCCAAAAACAACTCAAACTAAACTACCTTCAGTAACAGAACAGTGATTTCAAGATTTTAAATGGACTGATTTTGCAAAACTTCCCCCAAAAATGCCTCTTTGGGTGTTTCCTTATTATAACGTTTAGCCTCCCTCCCTTGCTAGAACTCTGTGTTACAGATGATGGTCTCCGGGGGAAGCTCTATGTGACGGTAATGAAGACAGTTTTGTTTTTCTTATTAACAGCTCTGTAGTTCATGTTAAGGGAGTCAGAGCTGGACCTGTGAATGTGGGCTGAAGGCGACTGACATTTACATCCACTTAAGTGTGTGTTTAGTTTTCACTAATGTGTGAGGAGTCCATTGTTGTTTTTTGTCACTGCCTTTAAGCTTCGATCTAAAGAGCTGAGAATTTCTACTCTCTTGAAATTCTTCTGTTTTATTTGAATAGTTCGTTTTTTCTATTCTACAACTTTTCACAGTTTTCATATTTTCTCTGTTTTATAATTGTTCTTGTTTTTTTATGCTTCTGTTCTGTTTTCTTACCTTCTTAATTTTTTCTGAATGTTTGTCCCTTTCCTGTTATTATCCTGTGTTATCTGTCTTTTGGTTATTTCATGTTTTACTGAAAACCTTTGTTTTACTGCTTTCTTTTGTGTCTGCTCTGTCTGATTGTCTTCACCTGCGCTTCATTATCCTATTGATTGATTTGCTGCATGTTTGATTACTCCTGCTTATTACTAAGTTGCGTAACATTTGCAAAAGCACAAAATTGCACAACCACAGACTGTCACAGTAACTTTCAGTTATTGCAAGAACAGAGTCATCTGATTATGAAACTCTAGAGCTCCCCATCTTACCCTTTCTCAAAGTGGTGTCCTCACTCAGTGTGTGTGTGTGTGTGTGTGTACAATCCAAGAATCAGAGCAGCAGAAGTGTTACTCAGTCATTGTTGCTGCAGATCCACTTACTGATGACTTTACTTTACTTTACTTTACTTTATTGATTATATAGAGCACTCTTCACAGGATAAAAAACACAAAGTGCTTCACAATAATATAAAACAGATAAACATAATACAGTGCAATCAAACATACAGCGCAAATCTAATTAAAAGCTAGTCTAAATAAGTGAGTCTTAAGATGATGTTTAAAAGAATAAATACAATCCAGGCAGCGTAGAGATGGAGGGAGAGAATTCCACAACCTGGGGGTCACCGCTCTAAAAGATCTATCACCTCTGGTTTTAAAACATGTTCAGGGAACTACCAACAGCCTTTGATTAGATGATCTCATGCTGCGAGAGGGAGTGTGAGGTTCCAAAACATCAGAAATATAAGCAGGAGCGTCATGATTCAAAGCTTTAAAAGTCAGGACTAAGATTTTAAAATGAGTTCTAAAATGTACTGGAAGCCAGTGTAATGAGCGTAACACTGGTGTAATGTGCTCTCTTTTTCGTGTCTTAGTTAAAAGCCTTGCAGCAGCATTCTGGACTAACTGGAGACAGTCAAGATTCCTTTTGCTCAAACAAAGAAAAAGACTGTTACAATAATCTAAGTGAGAAGAAATAAAAGCATGGGTAATCATTTCTAACTCTGATTTAGACAAAAAAGTTCACAGTTTGGAAATATTTCTTAGCTGAAAAAGGCAGTTACTAATTAATCTAGAGTGTTGCTCTAGAGACATGGCAGAATCAAAAACAACACAGAGATACCTGAGGCTCGGGTGAACAGATGATCCAAGAGAACCAAGATGCTTTTTGATTATAGATATCTGGCTTTCAGGGGCAATAATTAATGTTTCTAACTTCTTAGAGTTCAACTGCAAGTAGTTGTCTCCAAGATACTGTTCAATGGAAGCTAAACATTTTATTAAAAAGGACATTTTATGGACTTCCATCGGCTTAAAAGAGCAGTAGACTGAATATCATCAGCATAAAAGTGATAAGACAAATCAGGGAACTGCCTAATTATAAGTCCTAGGAGTAACATGTACAGGAGAAAAAGAATCGGTCCCAGAACTGAACCCTGTGGGACCCTTCATGTCAGGTCCTTAGAGTGTGACATAAACTGATTTGCAAAGACACTTAAAGATCTGTTGGAAAGGTAGGACTGAAACCACTCCAGAGCAAGACCGGACACACTGACAGTGACTATGTCCCGGAGCCTGTTAATCAGGATGGTATGGTCAACGGTGTCAAAGGCAGATGTTAAGTCCAGCAAAACCATGACTGTGGATGCTCCGGAGTCAGCTGACATCATAATGTCACTAGAGACCTTAATTAATGTGGTTTCTGTTGAGTGACACTTACGGAAACCAGACTGAAATTTTTCATAAATGTCATGTTTTTCTAAAAAAGCAGTAAGTTGATCAGCAACTGCTTTTTCCAGAATTTTTGACAGTAATGGGAGCTTAGAGATAGGCCTATAATTCTTAAGCTGTGTTGGATCTGAATGGATGACTGAATCAGTCAGCCTGTTGTAGAAACACAGAAGAAAAGGTAGATGGAGGACAGGTTGAGCTTTGTAAATGATCATTTGTTATCTCCTGCAGATATAGTTTCAATATGCAGGCCTCTGACTCGAAATAAATACTGTTGGCTCTCCTCCAAGAGGAATTAATTTTAACAGTTTGTGCCAATACTTGGAGCGGTTGTTGCAACATGTGGTGCATTTGTTACACAGCCAAACCGGGTTTGACCAACCAAAAGTGGATATTTTTAACCTCTGTTTAAAATTATCCAAACCATTTTAAGATAATTAATTATACTTAAAATTAATATATTTTAAATATAATCATACTTTGATTATCTAAGTTGAAATCAGATGTTGACATATTTCTAAAATATTAAATTTGACTTCTTTTCTTGATGTGCATAGTATTTTGATGATACTACTGTGTTTATTACTCTGGTATGGCATGTATTTATGCAGTAATTCTGCATGACATAGGTATTTATTTCATAATGTTGGTCATTATTCTTCACATGAAATAAAATAATAACCTTGTTATGAAATGTGCCAGATAAAAACAACTGGAGATAAAAATCAAATGACATGTTATGTCATATAAGGCCAAATGCAGACACAGTGTGTGAAAAACTACATCCTATGCTTCAACTTATAGAAAAACGTTAAGCAGTAATAACTTAAAGTAAATATTTTGTGTATTTTTTGCCAATTCTTCTTTACAGTGTTTATTCAGTTTATTGATGTTTGTGGACACTTGTTTATGCACAGCTCTCTTCTCGGTCAGGTTGAGAATTGGACTTTGACTTTGATTCAGTGACTTCAAGGTGGCCAAAACAAGCACACACCATCACCCCTCCACCACTGTGATAGTTGGTATTAGCTTTTTGTGCTGATATGCTGTGTGTAGGCTTTTTCAAATATGTAACTATGCATTATGCCAAAACATCTCCAGTACTTAATGTGCTTCATGTTTTCTCTCTTTTTTTTATAGATTAAGAATGGAGAAACCTACTGAGTATAAACAGATGGACAATTCAACCCAAGAGGCTTCACCAACAGGTAGGATATCAATAGTTTGTCTGAGTTGTCATTAACACAGAAACATGTATACACTGATCGATGAGACCTCTTGTTGTTTTCAAAGAGAACTTGCTGGAAGGGCCACCTCACAATTTCTACCAATGAATCTTTTAAACTCCTTTAAGTCAGATAAGCTTCAGATAGGTAGTTAACTAGCAGTAATAATTCAGAGAGGAAAATTATTCTTGGATCTGATGAGACACTGTTTCTGTGTGTGGATGTTTTTTAATTCATTTAAAATGAATTTACGGCATAAAAATAAGTGATCTGAATACTTTCTTAATTGACTCACAGATTCCCAGTGAATTAAAGAAATGTTTTGGAAAGTCAACAATTGACTACAAGTTGTCAAATAATCTTATAATGTTGTTTTGTCATTCAGATGGTCCTCTAAAGTGTGAGTCAGAACTCAAATCTAAACTAAAGAGGGAGCTCCGGTGTGCGTTTGAGGCGAGCACCAAAGGAGAAAGCCCAACCCTTCTGAATCTGATATACAGAGATCTGTACATCATAGAGGGAGGGACTGCAGAGGTCACTGATGAACATGAGCTCAGACAGATTGAAATGGCATCCAGGAAATCAGACAGGCAAGAAAAAATAGTCAGACCAGACAAGATCTTTAATGGCTCACCTGGAAGAGAAGAGCCAATCAGAACAGTGCTGACAAAGGGAGTGGCTGGCATTGGGAAAACAGTCTTAACACAGAAATACACTCTTGACTGGGCTGAAGGCAAAGCCAACCAGGACATCCAGTTCATATTTCTGTTCACTTTCAGAGAGCTGAATCTTTTGAAAGAGAAAACTTTCAGCCTGGTGGAACTTGTTCATCACTTCTTTACTGAAACCAAAGAATCAGGAATCTGCAGCTTTGAAGACTTCCAGGTTGTGTTCATTTTTGATGGTCTGGATGAGTGTCGACTTCCTCTGGACTTCAACAACACCAAGATCCTGACTGACCCTAGAGAGGCCACCTCAGTTCATTTGCTGCTGATAAACCTAGTTAAGGGCCATTTACTTCCCTCTGCCCATGTCTGGATAACCACACGATCTGTGGCAGCCAGTCAGATCCCTGCTCAGTTTGTTGACATAGTGACAGAGATCAGGGGGTTCAATGACCGACAGAAGGATGAATATTTCTGGAAGAGATTCAGAGATGAGGAGCAGGCCAGTATTATAATTTCCCACATCTTGTTATCAGAAAACCTCCACATCATGTGCCACATCCCAGTTTTCTGCTGGATCACTGCTACAGTTCTGGATTGTCTTACAATAAATAATGATAGCAGTGATCTGCCTAAAAGCCTCACAGATCTGTACATCCACTTCATGATGGTGCAAGTCCGATTGAAGAAGGTCAAGGATGAAGGATCTGAGACAGATCCACCCTGGAGTCCAGACAGCAGGAAGATGGTTGAGGCTCTGGGAAAACTGGCTTTTGATCAGCTACAGAAAGGAAACCTGATCTTCTATGAATCAGACCTGACAGAGTGTGGCATCGATATCACAGCAGCCTCAGTGTACTCAGGAGTGTTCAAACAGATCTTTAAAGAGGAGAGAGGACTGTACCAGGACAAGGTGTTCTGCTTCATCCATCTGAGTGTTCAGGAGTTTATGGCTGCTCTTCATGTCCATCTGACCTTCTTCAACTCCGGAGTAAATCTGCTGGAAGAAAAGAAATCTTGGTCATTTAAACTGTTGGGAATTAAACACAAGCAAAAAGTCTTCTACCAGTGTGCTGTAGACAAGGCCTTACAGAGTCCAAATGGACACCTGGACTTATTTCTTCCTTTCCTCCTGGGTCTTTCACTGCAGACAAATCAGACTCTCCTATGAGGCCTGCTGACACAAACAGAACGTGGCTCACAGACCAATCAGGAAACAGTTCAGTACATCAAGAAGAAGCTCAATGAGAATCTGTCCACAGAGAAAAGCCTCAACCTGTTTCACTGTTTGAATGAACTGAATGATTGTTCTCTAGTGATTGAGATCCAGCAGTCCGTGAGTTCAGGAAGTCTCTCTACAGATGAACTGTCTCCTGCTCAGTGGTCAGCTCTGGTCTTCATCTTACTGTCATCAGAAAATTATCTGGATGTTTTTGACCTGAAGAAATACTCTGCTTCAGAGGAGGCTCTTCTGAGGCTGCTGCCTGTGGTCAAAGCCTCCAAAAAAGTCATGTAAGTGAGTGTGTGTTCATACCTTAAGTTTTAAAATAAATTTGAGTCGGTGATTTATTTTTTTCACTGGTGCATCACTGGTGTTGGCCTCACTTTCTATCTTTGGCACAATTTGTATTCAGAAGTTAAATAATTAAAGTTAATTTGTTAACTGTTCTACGACAGTAAACCGTAACACTGCAGAGGTTAGGCTTCAGCATTTATTTGATACTATTGTGATAAACACACACCTACACACACACACACACAGCGAGAGAGAGAGAGAGAGAGAGAGAGAGAGAGAGAGAGAGAGAGAGAGAAAATAGAAAACAAAAAGAAAACTGTTAAACCAGAAATTCAAACTGTTTTGAGAGTTTGGGTGCAGTTAGGCAACGTTCACTTCTTTGATGTAAACTGGAGCAAGAACCAAAGAAACATGCCATCTCCATACAGAAGTGCCCCACCCACCCTCCTTCCCTGTTTATGCTGCAGTTACAGTTGAATCTCCTTTGAGTGTATAGGCTGTAGTCTCCCTGGAAAAAATTACTTACACATCATCTCTCTTATTTGCCATGTCATCTGCTATCATCCTTCCTCCACTCATCTTCTTTCAGTCCTGCCCCATGTGCTCCTTGCACATGCTGATTGTTATACAAATTTTTAAGTTACCAAACATTTAAAACACAGTAAAAACTTTCAGGACAACATTTTCATTCAGCTAAATCACACAATGATTGCTAAACATTGCTCCTACCGTCACTTCTGCAAAAGCTACTAAATGAAGCTATCAGCTAAATGAATGGGTGCATTGTTGCTTGTCTGAGCTACTTCAGTGTACAATTACCTCCATACATCCTAAATACTAAAATTTGGAAAGTCACAAATGGCACTACATACCTGTCTAGTTGGATACTGGTCAACCTAGTATAACTAAATCTACCAGTTCCACATTGGTTTTCATTAGTTTTTGCTAAGCAAATTTGAAGTGTTTCACATTTGTCCTCAGTATTTATTGTTTTGTTTTTCCATTTAATTGTGCAGATTCAACATTAAAGGTGATTTAATTTGATTTTTTTTTTCAGACTGAATGACTGTCAGCTCTCAGAGAAAAGCTGTGAAGCTCTGTCTTTAGTTTTCAGCTCCCATTCCAACAGTATGAGAGAGCTGGACCTGAGCAACAATGACCTGAAGGATTCAGGAGTGACGCTGCTGCTTGTTGGAGTGAAAAATCCATGCTGTACACTAGAAACTCTCAGGTCAGGCTTTAGACTTTTTCACCCACAACAATTTAAAAGCTGAGTTTTACTGTGGATAAACTGCAAACTCATTTAGAACTCCATTATAAAAAAAAATCTTTGCCAAAATAAATATGTAGGTTCATCTGCTGTGGTGACCACTTGAGAGAGCAGCCAAAAGAAGCATATTAAGATATGATTTGTTAAAGGTATCTAACCCTGACGGTTCCTTAATATACCACTTTAGGACAAATTATTGTTAGTTACTTTCAGTCCAAAGTACCACATAGATTTTATTTGTACAATACCTGTATATCTCTTGTTTGAAACTGCATTTCTAAAGGTCTGCTTCAAAGTATGTAGTTTGAAATTGGAAAGCTGGCCCAGAGACACTGGCATGTTAAAAGAGAATTCTTTCTCCCCACCATCACCAAGAGCTTTTCTCTGGGGCTCATCCAGTTGCTGGAATTAACTTTCTAATATTTTTAGGCTTTACTTGAGAACTGTTGTCATCTATGAGGATTGTCATGTTCTAAATCAAGCTAAATTGAATTGGAGATTGAAAGGATGTATGACATTGTATGTGAAAAACAAACGCAAACCAATGAAAGCAAATCTTGAGTGAAGCATTCACAGCTAGATTGTTGTTTTGTGTCTATAGTCTGTCAGGCTGCCTGATCACAGAGCAAGGCTGTACTTATCTGGCCTCAGCTCTGGGCTCCAATCCCTCCCGTTTGAAAGAGCTGAACCTAAGCTACAATCATCCAGGTGACTCTGGCACGAGGATGCTATCAGCATTAAAGAATGATCCACAGTGGAGGCTGGAAGCTCTCAGGTATGGGGAAGAATGTCTAATAGAGCAGAAAGTGTTTCACTTATTTCCTGTTTCATGTGTGTGTGTGTGTGTGTGTGTGTGTGTGTGTGTGTTATGACTATTCATTGAAACTTGTCAAGTTTAGCAATAACAACAAATGTCAATGTGAGTTTGATTTATATTTCACACTTAAATGAATTTTAAATTAATGTGCTTGCCATAGAATATAAAAAAAACTATGACCTTTTAAAGTGTAGTTTAGATACACACACTTATTAATTGTAAGCCTGTGAGATTAAAAAGGGTTTTGAGATATTTGTAATAGACCTCAAGCCATTGGGCAGCTCGTTCCAATGGACAATATGTGGGGGACCAAATCAGTCACCAGTAGGGAGAGTTGTCACCTCCTATGGGCAAAATCTTGTGGACTCTTTGCTTCTCAACGTATTGGTGAAATACCCAGGACATTAACTGGTGAGACACATAGCTGATGGTCTTCAGCTCACTTTGGCCTGGGTTCAAGCTTGGTTAATTGATCCTCCTCGTGAATGGAGGTAACCATAATTGACTCCCGATCTGTGTTTGCTGGGGCACCAAGATATAGAAGCATAGGGTTGTCCAGATTGCAAGAGGCCTCTGCAGCCAGGGAGTCCAACAGAAGTTCATTCTCCTGGATTTGGTAAAGGTTGGAACCTTCCAGTCTTACTGTTTTCTTGCTAAGTCAGTCCAGAAATCCTCTAAAGGGATAATCTGTAAGCTAACAGGGACTAGTATACATATTAGAACAATGTAATGTCCTTGTGTGTATGAACATACATTGTTCATACACACACTAAATGCATGTTCAGCATGCACATAGACTGTGCTGGTCTGACCCCCCTCTTCCTTTCAGGGTGGAGCCTGCTGGAGTCCAATGGTTGAGACCAGGTCTGAGGAAGTGTAAGTGTGTTTTTTAATATGATTAATGAACACAAAAAACACTGAAACATTTTCATCAGTCATTCATTTCTCTAATGTTAGTAGTTATCCAAGTGTCAATCAATGAACAGATGATGGATCAATAACTGCAGCTGGATTGTATTTGTTCTCTCCCTCAGATTCCTGTCAACTCACAATTGACACAAACACAGTGCACAAAAACCTCAAACTGTCTGACAACAACAGGAAGGTGACACATGTGGAGGAGGTTCATTCATATCCTGATCATCCAGACAGATTTTACTTCTATCATCAGCTGCTCTGTAGAAATGATCTGACTGGACGTTGTTACTGGGAGGTCAAGTGTAGAGGAACCGTTAATGTAGCAGTGATTTACAAAGCTGGAAAGATACAAGATGATTTTGAATATGTTTTTGGAGTTAATGACCAGTCCTGGAGTCTGCTCTTCTCTGATGATGCTCCTCATTCTGTATGTCACAGTAAAAAAGAAATGTCCATCTCCTCCTCCTCTGTCTCTAACACAGTAGCAGTGTATGTGGACTGTCCTGCTGGCACTCTGTCCTTCTACAGAGTCTCCTCTGACACTCTGATCCACCTCCACACCTTCAACACCACATTCACTGAACATCTTTATCCTGGATTTACACTCTGGTCTCCTGGTTCATCAGTCAGTCTGTGTGAAGTTTAGCACACCTGGATATTCATCTGATTGGTGTAGTATATTAATCAGAAACATGTTTTCAGACGCATGGATAAATTAAGTTTTAAACAATGACTCTTTGTCAACTTCTTCGTCTTTAGTCCTTTTAAGATGGAAGCTGGGATTATTTCATGAAGCAGAATTAGTTTTGTCTTTTTTTCACTCAAACCTTCACGGTGAACATTATTATGTAGCGTTTTTTATGAATCTCAGTCAAGAACCAGCTCCTCTGCATCTTAGACAAGCCTGAGCTCATTCATTGTTGTTGTTGTTGTCATTGTTGTTTGCTATTTCTTTAAAAAATATATATATATTTTCAACTTCTCCACATATTATTACTGTTATTGAAGCAGGACAGGAATTAAGGGAGATTTTCACAATAAGAGGACATTTTGGGTTTTGTTTTTATTTTCTCCCAAATGATGATAACCAGCCTGTGTGGATGTTCCATGACTAAATAAATGGACATTCGACAATTCTAACTGAATTGAAGATATTCATCACTCATGATCACTCATGTTTCTGCCATTCTATAAAAAATTACTGCTTTTAAAAATAATCTAATGAATGAAACAATAACTTCTAATATTAATCAGATAAATATGCAAAGGTCTGATGTAACTAACATCTCATTTAACTCTTTATTGATGATCATTTCTTGCACTCTGTTAGTGGGAAGATAAATTACATGAAGTCAGTTTAATGAACGCAGATGACAGAACTGTTTTTCATTCTACTTTTTGTAATTGTACTGATACTAAATGGGGTTTCTTGAAGTCACAATATTATCCTGCTAAAATCTGTATTAGTAGATATTAAACATTTCTGGGAGTTAAATTAAATTGTTATCAGCTACCTAAATATGTAAAGAAGTGAAGTAGTTTATGTTTGGAGCTGTGTGTTTCACTGTGTACATTGTGTTTCATTGTGTAATTACTTAAAGTTAAAGGTTTCCTGGATTTGGGAGAACTTAATTTTTAGTTTTTGACTTTAATAAAGACATGTTTAATTCTAGCCCTGCCTCTACCCTTTGTGCCTGTTAAGTTGCTTTGCTACAAACACACAAACACACAGAAACCACTGAAATTGAGTGGAAAAATTGTCTGACAGGTATATAAATGACAAAATTCAGTCAGCATGAGCCTGGCAGGAAGCTGGATGATGGACTGATATGAGTTGGAGAGACAGTGGTATGACATTATATTTATGTCAAGACTCACATGCGTGAAGAAAAATGTAATGGGTGCAGATATTCATTGGCACTTATGTAATAACATTTTTCATGCTCGTTTTACCCTCATGAACTCTGTTTTTAACAGTTTGGTCAGAAACATAAACAGCCTGCTGGAGGTAATTTTGAAGGATCTCAGAGTGTAACTTCTGTTCCTCTTTACACAAAGGTCCAAGTACCAATCCTGCAGCTGGGTTAATGCCCTTCTACCACCCTGTCAGCTCTCCTACACAGTAAAAAACCAAGTGTCAATTTTACACTTACAGAGTTGATTTTAACTCTGCTTCAGATAACATTTGGTCCCACTCAAAATTAGAGTTAAATTTACTCTATGGCCAGTGTTAACTTTTCAGTGTTAATTGTACTCAATTTAGTGTCAAAATTAACAACAAAATGTGTAAAAATATTTAACACTGAGGGTTATTCACACTGTTCAGAGTAATTTGATTACACTTTATAGAGCTATTTTTACTCCAAATTTAGTTTAATAATAACACTCTGATGTGTAATAATATATCATTTTTATTTCTCTGTAGTGTGATTTTTTTCATATTCATCTTATGATGCTATATTACTAAATAACTGTGATTTATCCTACATTATGGAAATAACAACAAATATACAGGTTAAAGTAACAGCATTTATTATGTTTCTCATTTCAGTGTCATTTAATTAACATAACAAACCCTTACAATTCATAGTTCTATGATGCTCACTAGAGAAAGCAATATCACATTTCCCCAATGTCGTAGTTGTTTGCAGAAAAGTAAAAAAGTTGGTCATGGATGAACTGTATGATGTACCAAAGACATAATGGGCCCTAAAGAGTTCATCAAGGGCTCCTACTGAACCTCTCGCTTTACATGGAAGTGCATTCTTCTCAATCACAATGAAGGTGTGAATGCTGCTTCTTGTGGATCCCTGAGTAAGAAGGTAGGGCTGACTGCTTCGGGTGATGTTGTCTAGATGCTGCTGTACACTGGTTCCAGCCTACAACAACACATTAAACAACAGTATTAAGTGACTATCGTCTGACAGTAGATTAGCTCAACTCACTGTCCATGAAAATAGAGGTGATGGAAAGTATCTTTTAAACAACATACCTTTGGGAATTTGATAAGGTTATTGACAGCCTGAGATGCAGACATCTTTCCTGGTCTCTTTCGCCCTTGTGCAGATGGTGGTGGCAGATGTAGCAGCAGCAAGATAGTAGACAAGTCACTGTCCCAGCCTACAGACAAATAAACAGAATTATTCCAAAAATACATTGAATTGACAGCATTACCTATATAACCAACAATGGCAAATAAAAACAGTCACAATCATACCATTCTCAACTTCAGTACCTGACTCAGCATTGCACATTAACTCCAAGAGCTCTGAGGTGGGGACAAGTCCATGACTTTCCTTTACAACCTTTGCTTTGAGATTGATGGGCCACCTCTCCAAGAATTTGCTCGCAGTGACCTCACAAAACAGTAGTTGAAAATCTTGTTCTATCTGTAATGCAAAAATACAGAACATAGAGAGGTGTTTGATTGAATCCTGCCTACAAATTACATCAGTATCATTTAAATGATAAGTGAACTTACTTTTGGGAGATTTGCAAACTGAGACGCTACTTTCCTCCACAGCTTTTCTTTGAATGGTCTTCAACCGCCATGCAATGTATCCTGAACCGCTCTCTGGATCGTAGTAATGTTTCTATGTAATTAAATAAACGAAGAAGGACTATGTTATCAACATTTCTGAAGGCAATTATATATTTAATGTTGAAAAGTTCCCTTTACTTACATATCCATGTTGTGAATATGGGTCTTCCAGATATGGAGACAGAGCAACAATCACTCTTAGGGGGGAGATGCCCTAATGTATAGATTCAATAATTGGCATTAAACATCACAATTAAAAATAATACAATGTTAAAAATGTTTCTTTATAGCTTACATTTTTGATTTGCTATCAGTTAATTTACACAAAATATATATTTCTTACTAAATAATGAGCAAAACTCTAAAGTAGTGTATGCCTTTGGCATTTGCTTAAAATAATATAAACCAGTAAAGTTAACTTCATGGTAATGTTACCCACTTTTTCTGAAAGTACGTTCGTTTATGTAAGCTAATTAGCGATTATTAGCTTACTGATAAACGGTAATTTAGTTGTTCAAATTGTGCGATTTGACATGTGACAATGATATTATTTTGATAGCATTTAGAAGAAATACATAGTTAAAATGTTTTAGGTTCATATTAACGCAGTGAGAAGATAACAAACATCTGAACTTTTAGCAACTGCTAGCATGTAGCTACTGGAATGTCATTAAACCTATGGGTAAATGCTGCTAACATGTCCTCACTCGACATCAGTGAAACTATAAAGAGCTATTTAGTTTAAAAATACCTTTTAAACAATGTTACCAGTATGGAAATGTTAATTTCACTTACCTGACTGTGGCAGCTCTTCGGAGAAAATTCCATGCGCATTAGAGGTCTGAGGCCGCACACGCTTGCGGGCTGGTAATAATCAACACTGTGTGGAGTTAAGTCTTCACTGCGTGACTAACAAACTTTACACTGACTTTTAACTCTGATGTTAGAGCTGGTTTACTCCTCATAGAGTTGTAAATACTCTATCTAGGTTAAAATAGGTTTACTCTGAAATATTGACACTCCATTTTTTACTGTGTAGTGTGTCCGGTATGTCCTATAGGCATCGTACAGGCATTTACACTAGGACAGCCTTAAGACTGAATCCATCGCACTGGCTGAACAACTGGAGAGTTGGTAAAGTACGTCAGTGGGTCATCCCCCTCATCTCCAGATTCTGATTCCAGTACAGAGGGCATGTGAGTGGGCTTCGGATGTTGCTCATTTAGAACTTTACAGAAAGCATTTCCTTCCTTTTAAAAGTTTCACTTCACGTTCCCGAACTTGGTGTCCCAGATGATTTTCTCCATGTGAAGCTCTGTGTTAAGGTAACGGAAGCCTGTAATGTTTTCCTTGCTAACATTATAGGTTTAAGAATCTTTTTGAAAGTGAGAATAATCAGATATTATCAAAATTGTGTGTGTGTGTGTGTGTGTGTGTGTGTGTGTGTGTGTGTGTGTGTGTGTGTGTGTGTATTAGCAGTACTGAGTCCAGTTCTAATGTAGCCTTCAGTATCTAATGTTGAAATTGCTTTGTGCATGGACTGAGACATGTTGTGAGTGCTTAAAATCACAAAAAAATCTGTGTATGAATTTTTGAATAGTTCAGGCTTGTAGATCATATGATACAAATGTGGGACCTCTTTGGGGATTATTTCCCTCTATAGTTAATGTGCATCATCAAGCTATGTTCGGTGTATGTTTCCTTTTGATGAAATACCTCTGGAAACAAAAATAAAAGGTTCACAAAACAAACTAAAACAACAGGTTGCTTTTCTTTTGTTAGTTGAGTTTTAGATTAACATGAGTGAAAAGTCATTTTTCTTATTAAAAAGAGAATCTGAGGCAGAGATCTGAGGTCATGTGTTTGTTTGTTTCTGTTTTTAACTGAACATTAATTGAATAAAACTTCCAGTCACAGTGAATCAGTGTGTGTCAGTGAAAGCATCGCGTGTGCTTCATGGCGCCATCTAGTGGACTGATAGTAGAAGTAGAGCAGCTGATGGCAGCTTCCTCTGCCTCACACTGCTGTCTGACTGCATTCAGCTGACACTGCTGGTTTTCTGGTTCATCTCAGTGTTTGGACAACATACAATGCAGAGGGAGAATTTCAGTTTATGTGCACACGAATGATTTGTGTTTCCTCTGCAGGTGAAGGTAGAAAGTGTGTGTGAGCTGATGTGGATGTGAATTCAGCAGCATGGATCAGTGTGAGGACAGAGAGGAGGGAGTCCCTCCCTCTAAAACCACTTTGTGTGGGGAACATGAGAGCCAGACCAAAGCTCAGAGGTGAGATGACCATCTCTAACTGTCCATGACTCTTCTCCATGTCACATCTCAGCACTCACATCACTGCTCCATCATTACTCACAGGAACCAACCTGGAGCTGAACCCAGCTGTGTGTCCTTAAAGAGTGACTGGTCAAAGAGTATTGGTGCTGATTTTAAAGGACAATACTCTGCTGTGGAAAGGTAATCTATATCTGTATATATGTTTATTTTTTCAGTAAATTTTCAAACAGGGTTAATGCCAAATCAGCTTTTCACATATCTATAATCAAATGTAGTATAAAGTCTTGAGTGAGTTTTTTTTTTTTTTCAGAAACATGGCATGGGAAGCATGTGAAAGCTTTATGATGTATGAGGTATTTGTCAATAAACCAAACTGAGCTAAAGGCTCCAAACAGCTCTAGACTCTGTTGGTGGTTCTCAATGGCATCATCAGGACAACTAAACCTTTACTACCACAATGATATGACTCAGTGCTGATTTCCACACATCACTTCATGGACCTTTGGCTCAAGTCTCTGTGTGGGCAGATTTAATGTGAGCTGTCCTTATCACATTTTTTTAAATACATAAAGTGTGTATTCTCTTACCTGGTCTCATCTTCTAAAAGTGTCAACACAAGAACCAGAGAAGAAATAGACATCAAGCCCCAAAGCAGCCTCACATTTTGACATGATAGCAAGATAAACAGGATACTTATGTGTCATCAAAGGCCCAAGCACTGACATTGCAAAGGTCACACTGCATGTGTTCCGTTTATTAGTAGTATTTTTAGTATTTCTTCACGTCACTATGCAGGCTGCAAGTAGAGGTAACTTGGGCCGCGAGATTGGGACACAGGCATTAGAGCCTCTTAATGCGTGTTTTGTTTAGGTTTCCACCAGGGTGGAATTACCAAAAATAGAGAGAGCATAGCCTAATATATGAAACAGGAAAAGACCGCCGTGTAATCCATTTATTTCAACAAAGTAACGGTAACTGTAACAGAATACAGTTACTCATATTTTGTATTTTAAAAACGTAACGGCGGTGCATGTATTCCGTTACTCCCCAGCACTGACCAATACTGATCGATAGTTAGAGTGCTAGGAATATTTAGGGGAGGTTTTCACAAGTTGATCACAACCACCCCAATAGTGGTGTAAATAAATTAATGATGAAAATTAAAACTTTTCATTGCCCTGGTGGCATGATGACTCCCCAATGAAACAGGAAGTTGTTGTTAAGAAGTTAGGAAAGCTTTAAAAAATCATAAATTAAAACCTTTGACATGATGAAGCTTTTGTGATAATTGGTCCTAATGGTGGAGATGCTAAATTGGGTTTACAGCACCACCTACAGAATCTCAATGAGGCATCCACGAAACTGTTTCATCTGCATATATGAAATTTGATAGCCTGATGTAATAGCTCAAGAAAAAAAAAACCCTTTTTGATCAATACTCTAAACTAGTGCAGTCAAAATTAACGCATTAATGCAGATTAAGCTGTCATCACGATTAACGCGATAAATTTTTTTAATGCTATTAACGCATCTGGAGTGCAGAATGCCTCAAAATCCCTGAAATTTTTCTGTGAACGCATTTCAGACAGTTTGCCCACGTAGAGTTACCTTCGTACATGTGCAAATGGACAGTTGATCTGGTAGTGACGGGCAGCTGAACCAATCAACTCAATATGGTAGATGATAAACACACATTGGCCCTCTCGATGGGAAATTTGAGTATTAAAAAAATAACCAGACGGAAGAGTCGACCAGTCGAATTATCTTTTCACCGAAGCACTTCCAGCTTAAAATATCACATTGACACGAAGCATACCTTAGCTGGGGATGTTGCTTTTTTTGCTCATGGAAAATGAAATGATTAATATAGATTAAAATGAATGAGATTTAAATGTGATTAATCAAAATGAATCCACAGTAACCCTGTGAAAAATCTGATTAAAAACTGTGATTGTTTGAGAGCACTAATATATATTATATATTAGTGTATACTATTACTATATATGTTTTTTAAAAAGTTGTGTTTCACAGGAGAGAAACTGTGCTAAAAGACAGAAGAAAACTATTTAAATTCTCTTTGAATTGCAGCATACATTCTTTGTGTTTATTGTCCATTTACTTCTTTATATTGCATAATTGTCAGTTACAAGCTTAAATATAAAGTTGAAAAAGTGTAATTGCAGCCAGGCTATTGATCAAGTAATTGTGATTAATCGCAATTAATTACAGAAAATTGTGAGATTAATTCGTTAATTTTTTTTATCTATTGACAGCTATTCTAAACATAACAGGAAGCCAGTCATTTTCAATCTAAGATGCAAATTTTGGTTCAATTTTTGCTATTTTCTGGTCTTGTATTTATCAAACTTCTCCTAGAGATTGGAATGAATAAACATGCTTAATCTAAAGGCTTTGGTGATGCTAAATTGTAAAGCTTTTGAGTTTTCATAGAACGGTATGTCCACAACGGATTGTCAAACTTTGATCATTTGCCAGGGGAGATTAAACTGTCATATTTTAAATGTACTTTGTCCAGTCTATCCCAAATTTAACATATAAGATGGTATTCTGAGTCCAGAGACATCTACAAGCCAATATTAGCTAATGCTTAATGTTACTTCCAGGCATCAGGAATCAATATTAACTGATAAAATCACATATGAAATTTAAAATTTTGGATCCAGACAATACACAGCAAAATAAGATGTAGTTGGTTTTCTTATACACAATCTAATGGGCACAGTCAGTTTCATCGCTTCTTGTAGTTTTAATTTATTTCTGGTTTTTTTGTGAGTGTGGAGAGACATAACATGAGCCAAGTCTTCATGATTTCTCCACAGGGTAAACAAGGAGAGCTCAGAGGTTTCCAGTGATCAGTCTGGCCAGCAGCATCACCACATAAAACTTAACTCAATATTTATGGTCAGTACATGTGCAAAAACTACTTTTGCTATTTTCTATTTTGTTCACAGTGATCTCTATGCTGCACCTTTTAGACTAGTGTAAGGACAGTGTGTCTAACATTGATCCAATTTTTGGCTCCGGGATTTCAGTATGATCAGGGGAATCATAGAGTATTCTGTTCCAGCTACTGGAGGAAAACATTATCACTTTTGTGAAGAATGAGCTGAAGACGATACAAAGAGTTCTGATTCCAGACTACATGGAACCATTTGAGCGTCAGAAGAAGGATGAGAACGTGTCTGGGGTGAATGAACAGCAGAGAAGCAGAGAACCCTTCCTAAAGATCGCACTACACTTCCTGAGGACAATGAAGCAGGAAGACCTGGCTGACCAACTGCAGAGCAGTAAGAGTATTTCTCTAAATATCTTATCTGCTGGAAAAATTAGAAATGTTCTAATAGTTCAAGAGAATAATTCCCTAGTGTAGTGTTTTATACATTTACTTAGCAAGTGAAAGGTTGCAGGTTGGATTCTGGAAGCTGAAGACACAAATGAAGCTTGTGCATAAGTGCAGTAATGACACATCTGTCTACTACCCAGGTGTTTGATGGCTAGTATATTCATTACTTCCTCTTTGCTGTACAATAACTTAAGTTATTTCTTATGTGTTTTCAGAAATGTTTGCTCCAATTTGTACACGTGATCTTAAAACTTTGCTGAAGAAGAAGTTCCAGTGTGTATTTGAGGGGATCGCTAAAGCAGGAAACCCAACCCTTCTAAATCAGATCTACACAGAGCTCAACATCACAGAGGGAGGGACCGCAGAGGTCAATGATGAACATGAGGTTAGACAGATTGAAACAGCATCCAGGAAACCAGACAAACCAGAAAGAACAATCAAACATGGAGAATTCTTTAATGCCTCAAGTGGAAGAGATCAAACAAACAGAATAGTGTTGACCAAGGGAGTGGCTGGCATTGGGAAAACAATTTTAACTCAGAAATTCATTCTGGACTGGGCTGAAGACAAAGCAAACCAGGACATCCAGCTCATTTTTCCATTCACTTTCAGAGAGCTGAATGTGTTGAAAGATAAAAAGTTCAGCTTGGTGGAACTTGTTCATCACTTTATAACCACAACTAAAGACTCAGGAATCTGCAGATTTGAAGACTTCCAGGTTATGTTCATTCTTGATGGTCTGGATGAGTGTCGACTTCCCCTGAATTTCAACAACAATATGATTCTGACTGATGTTGCAGTGTCCACATCAGTGGATGTCCTGCTCACAAATCTCATCAGAGGGAACCTGCTTCCCTCTGCTCATCTCTGGATAACAACACGACCTGCAGCAGCCAATCAGATCCCTCCTCAGTGTGTTGACATGGTGACAGAGATCAGAGGGTTCACTGACCCACAGAAGGAGGAGTACTTCAGGAAGAGATTCAGAGATGAGAAGCAGGGCAGCAGGGTCATCTCTCACATCAAGACATCACGAAGCCTCCACATCATGTGCCACATCCCAGTCTTCTGCTGGATCACTGCTACAGTTCTGGAGGAAATGTTGAGAACCACAGAGGTGAGAAAGCTACCCAACACCCTGACTGAGATGTACATCCACTTCCTGGTGGTTCAGGCCAAAGTGAAGAAGGTCAAGTATGATGGAGGAGCTGAGACAGATCCACACTGGAGTCCAGAGAGCAGGAAGATGGTTGAGGCTCTGGGAAAACTGGCTTTTGATCAGCTGCAGAAAGGAAACCTGATCTTCTATGAATCAGACCTGACAGAGTGTGGCATCGATATCAGAGCAGCCTCGGTGTACTCAGGAGTGTTCACACAGATCTTTAAAGAGGAGAGAGGACTGTACCAGGACAAGGTGTTCTGCTTCATCCATCTGAGTGTTCAGGAGTTTCTGGCTGCTCTTCATGTCAGTCTGACCTTCATCAACTCTGATGTCAATTTGCTGGAAGAAGCACAAACAATCTCCAGCAGGTCTGAAAAAACACATTTCTACCAGAGTGCTGTGGATAAGGCCTTAGAGAGTCCAAATGGACACCTGGACTTGTTCCTCCGATTTCTTGTGGGTCTTTCAATGCCGACCAATCAGACCCTCCTACAAGGCCTGCTGACAACGACCGAAAGAAGTTCACAGACCAATCAGACTCTACTAGCATCCCTGCTTACACGGCTGAGAAGTCGTTCACAGTTCAACCAGAAAACATATATCAAGAAAAAACTCAATGAGAATCTATCTACAGAGAAAAGCATCAACCTGTTCCACTGTCTGAATGAACTGAATGACCATTCTCTAGTGGAGGAAATTAAACAGTCCCTGAGTTCAGGAAGTATCTCCACTGATAAACTGTCTCCTGCTCAGTGGTCAGCTCTGGTTTTCATCTTACTGTCATCCAAAAAAGAAATGGATGTGTTTGACCTGAAGAAATACTGTGATTCAGAGGAGGCTCTTCTGCAGCTGCTGCCAGTGGTCAAAGCCTCCAAAAACGCTCTGTAAGTTATCATGAAATCATCAATTATTTTTAAACACATGCCTGTCTTTAACAGAACACAAAATTGTATTTGTTATTATCAGGTTTGCTTATAAACTCCCTGAAAAGCCTTCAGTTGATCCAAAATGCAGTAGGGGTACTAACAGGGACTAGAAAGAGAGAGCATGTTTCTCTGATATTGGAGTCTCTTCATTGGCTCTCTGGTGAATCCAAAATCAAATTTAAAATCTTCGTAATCACATTCAAGGTCTTGTATAATTAAGGCCCATCTTCTCTTAATAGTACCATATCACCCCATTAGAGCTCTTTGCTCTCAGACTGCAGGCTTACTTGTGGTTCCCAGAGTGTTTAAAAGTAAAATGGGAGGCAGAGCCTTTAGATTTCAGGCCCCTCTTCTGTGGAACGAGCTAACAGTTTGGAAGTAGAAATAGTTCACTATCTCTACTTCTAAGATTAGGTTTAAGACTTTCCTTTTTGACAAAGGATATAATTAGGGCTGGATCACATGACCCTGAGTCCTCCCTTAGTTACACTGCAATAGGTCTAGGCTGGCAGGGGATTCCCATGATGCACTGAGTGTTTCTCCTTCTTTCAACCCTTTTCACGTACCATGTGTTTATACACCACTCTGCATTTAATAATTTGTTATTATCAATCTCTAGCTGGTTCTCCCTGAGGTTTCTTCCTGTTAAAAGGGAGTTTTTCCTTTTTAAAAAAAACACAGAAAAGAGGAAGTTTTTTCCTTACCACTCTCGTTAAAATGCTTCCTCATTTTAACAAGAAAGCATCAGACAGTCATATGATTGTTGGGATTTTCTCTGTTTTGTCTGTGTTATTGTAGGGTCTTCGCCTTATAATATAAAAGTGGTAATTGCTGTTGTGATTTGCTGTTATATAAATAAAGCTGAATTGAACTGCAATGACTTGGTCTATTTTATTATTGTTCTCTCTTCAGGCTCAGTAGCTGCAACCTGTCACATAGAAGCTGTGAAGCTCTATCCTCTTCTCTAAAATTAGAAGACTGTGAACTGAGATCTCTAGACTTGAGTAACAATAAACTGCAGGATTCAGGATTGAAGCTGCTGTTGGCTGGATTTGAAATTCCATACTGGAAACTGGAAACACTCAGGTCAGATCATATTTGTCAGATCTATGTGCCTATCAGCCAAATGTTTGAATTTCCCTTCCATAAATAATAATTTTGATTTTACAATGGCATATTTAGATTCACATATCTCTATTTGCATTTGTACAGCACCGAGTATCATTTTTCATCATTAGCATTTTCTCAGTTATGTAAATTGAGAAGGACTTGGCATGCAAGAGGGATGATAATGTCCATAGATTATGTATTTTCAAGAATTCAGGTAAGACGGTTCATGTTTGTTTTCTTTTTCATTACTTTCCAATCAGATTGAGCAACTGTAACCTCTCAAAGAGAAGCTGTGAAATTCTGTCCTCAGTTCTCAGCGCTTCATACTCTATTCTGAGAGAGCTGGACCTGAGTGACAATGACCTTAAGGACTCTGGAATGAGCATATTGTCTTCTGGACTGGATAATCCACACTGTAAACTGGAAACACTCAGGTCAGCGATTTTAAAATGTACAACTTCTCATGGTTACCCTGTCCTCCAGGTACAGCCCCCTCCTCTCTTTCTCTCTCTTCCTTATTGCTCTAACTTTTCTCTACCCTGCCTGTGTAAGTGTGAATATGCGTGGTATCAACCAATGTTTTTCAGTGGCAGGCATGTTTCCTGGAGTCCTCTGGCAGACACACTTTTCTCCTATCTACAAATAAGCTCCGTACTTAAACTGTTTAGACTACTCTGAATCAACTGGAACCAACTCTAAGCCAGCCCAACCCACTCTTACCAACTCCTGTTGGATTGTTCTCTGGATTCAATTCCCCTGAGTTCAGTCAGTCTACTTCTTGAGGATAGGAAGAGAGACTAAAGAGCTGTTCTGGTTTGTAGCTTGTCCTTTGCACACTGAGAAGTGTCCTAAATATTCTGGAAACTGCCTTCTCACCAAATCAAACTGACCTCTTTTATCTAAGTACCATTTGCTTTCAGACCTACTAAATGAACTAGTTAATACTGATCAGTTCTCTGGCTCATAGCAACTCACTGCTTGAGTACAGCAGAATCCAGGTCAGTTAAGTAGCAGAGTGGGTTGTTAATCAATTTCAGCTGCTTTGCTATAAATGAAATTAACAAATTGGAATCTACAAAGTGTGCATGAGAAGCCCGATTGGTATTTGTAGATTGGGCAAGTTCTCCCTATGCAAGTGTAAAATGCATGAAAGGGGTCTGTAGAAATGACAGAGAACATTATGCATGTAACATCATTCAGCACGATCATTTTGGTGGTGTGTCAGTGATATCTCACTGAGGGATGCAAGGACCTCTACCAGCAAGACAACGACACCATGACTTGCACTGGGTATCAGAATGAACCCACTTGGACCCACTGTCAGACACTACACTAGGTTCTCTTGGTGTATGGTCTAAATCCGATAAACCACCTCTGGAAAAATATGTTTTGGTCCTCCAACGTCACTAGGTTACACCTCAAACTGACCAGGAGCTCAGTGACACCCTTGTCCAGATCTGGGAAGAGATCCCCCTGAACAAATATCTAAAACCTGATATTGTCAGACATGCTCTAAAACAGACACTACAGAGTACCATTTTGAGTTACTGCAATGAAATTTCAACAAAATGGACTAGCATGTTGCTTTTTTTTTACTAGATTTTTGGGGTTTTCTTGGAATTCAGTTCTCCTTAGATTGATCATTTTCGTGACCATCAAATGATCTGGCTCTTGGTGGCGTTAGATTTTAGATCAAAGCGACTTTGTTTCTCCTAACAGTGCCTTATAAAGAATACACTTTGTATTTAGCTGCCATGCTGTTTTCTAACAGTATCTGTCACATGTTGTTTTTTCAGGCTGACAGGATGCCTGATCACAAAATATGGTTGTACCTCTCTGGTATCAGCTGTGAAGGCCAACCTCTCCCATCTGAGAGAGCTTGACTTGACTTACAATCATCCAGAAGAGGCAGGAGTAAAACTATTAGAGCAACTAAGACTGGAAATTCTCAGGTAGGGAGAGGCCTCTTGATTCATTTAATCAGTAATAAAATATACCAAAATGTCAGGTTGAAAATCTGATTACTTATGCAATATCTAAACTCATTTGACTAGGTTATATTTAAGAAAAGTAATAAAAGCAAAAAAAAAAAACATAACGGGCTGATTGAAGATACTTACATGACAACCACAGGAAGGAACTTTAGACAAATTTTCTTTAAATGTGTCAAAATGTTTGACTGTTCCAAAGGAGAAAATGAACCTCAGTTTGATTTAAATGAACTAAATAATGCAATTTAAAAATTAAAAATAAAAACTTAACAATATGTGTATGAGAGCGATGTAATGTCCATGTGTGCATGCTGAAAGAGACTGTGCTGGTCTGAACCCCCTCCTCCTTTCAGGGTGGAGCCTGCTGGAGTCCGATGGTTGAGACCGGGTATGAGGAAGTGTAAGTGTGTTTTTGATGTGATTCATGAAACAAAGCAGCATACATTCACCCATGTTCAAACTTTCACATGACATCTCTGATGTCAGGAGTCATCATCAAAGTGTCAATCATGAACACATGACGGATCAATAACTGCAGCTGGTTTGTGTTTGTTCTCTCCGTCAGATTCCTGTCAACTCGAAATCGACACAAACACAGTACACACAAACCTCAAACTGTCTGAAGACAACAGGAAGGTGACACGTCTGGTGGAAGGTCAGCCATATCCTGATCATCCAGACAGATTTGACTATTGGCCTCAGCTACTGTGCAGAGATGGTCTGATTGGTCGTTGTTACTGGGAGGTCGAGTGTAGAGGAGGAGTTAACATATCAGTAAGTTACAGAGCAATCAACAGGAGAGGAGACAGAGAACACTGTGTGTTTGGAGAGAATGATCAGTCCTGGAGTCTGAGCTGTTCAGATGATGGTTGTTATTTTGTCTGGCACAATAAGAAAAAAACATCCATCTCCTCCTCCTCCTCGTCCTCCTCTGTCTCTAACAGAGTAGCAGTGTATGTGGACTGTCCTGCTGGCACTCTGTCCTTCTACAGAGTCTCCTCTGACACTCTGATCCACCTCCACACCTTCAACACCACATTCACTGAACCTCTTTATCCTGGATTTACAGTCTTGTTTCCTACTTCCTCAGTGAATTTGTGTACAGTTTAGGATGAGGTAGGGGTATTTAATTCACATTAAACATCCAGCGAGAGAAAATAAAGCATGGAAAGTCCAGAATATCATAAAATTCCACATTCATTATAATTTAGTGCAATATATTTTAATGTAGCACAACAGTTAGATCAAAGTCTGTGTATAGTTAATAACTGGCTGTCAAGTAAAAGAAATACAGTACAATTCAACAGGATTTAATTTTCACAAGGACCTGGAGGGTACTCCACCGATAAAAGATTAATAAACTGCTCTTTCCTTGTTTCAAGGAAAATAACATTTGCATTCAAAAATTTTAAAAGTGCTTTCGAAAAAAAGGTACATTTTTTTTACCCTAAATTTGAGATTTAGCGTGTAAAGAGTGTCCTCCTGTTAAAGAAATGCTCTGACTGTTGAACAGATAGTTCAGTCTGTACATGTCTGTCTCTTTCACTCAGAAACACGTTTTCATATTCATGGATTCAATCAGTTGATGTTTTAAACTGTTTTAAATTATTCCTTGTAAACATCTTCCCCTTCAGTCCTTTAAAGATGGAAGCTACGATTATTCCAGGACCTACATGTTGTTGTTCTGTCTTTTTCCACTCAAAGCTTCACAGTAAATATCAATATGTTGTATTTCTCTGAAACAGAGGTGACCGACTGTGATATCAAGGAGGAATCACTGAGCTGCAGTGCCTTAAATGATGAATTAACAAACTGTTAAAAAACATTTTCACATTATTTTGTTTCTCTGGACTTCAGGTTTGTTTTATCATGAGCCTGTTCAGTGTCCAAATAAAAAACCAAGTCTTAAATGTTTCATTACAGTGAAACTTTTTTTTGTTTTATGAAGCTCCAACAAAACTAATATCTCATTTAATTTCGAAGGAGAACCCTAATGCTAAATATATTCATGCACCGTTAACCTTAGACTTATTTTGAGTAAATATCACATACAAACCTGTAAGTTGAACTCTTTCTGTCTGTATTTGCATAACACTTCGAGCTGTTCATGTTTTACATGTTTTCGTTTTTTTATTTACTGATTTATGGATTTTCTTTCACTGATTAGATGTTTTTAATCTCTTCTTGTTCGCTTACTTGTGAAGACAACATTAGATGATCATTTCCACCATCTCTGAAGGAACTTTGTTTACGTGTTCCCATTTTGTCAGGGAGCTTTCTTTGTGTTATTAAAACTAAACAAATAAATAAATGAACAAACTACATGATGTTACTTTACTCATTCTTTCATGGGTGTTTAAATTATCAAATTATTTTATATTAATATTGTGTTATAATTGTACTGATGGCTCATCAACAACACTGATACCAACAGCCTCATATTTATGAGGATGAAATGGACCATTCACTGCCCTCCACTGGTCATTGTCAGTAACTACAACTCAAATACAATATACGGTCTTTATTTACTGCAGTGTTTCAACACTAGTGTTCTTCAGTGGAAGTTGTTGCAGTACGTAAACGTAGATATTAAACAGATAGAAATACTGACGTCACCAGGGAAAAACTGTGTTTATTGTCTTCATGTGGTCACAGAGATGAACTGCAGGTAAAAATATCATAGTCAGACACCAAAACATAAAGAATAAAAAAAAAACATGGCAATTTTTTTGTCAAATGGCAAACATCATGTATTCTGTCACACCACAATATAAATAGAACATTTCTGTTCAGTACAAACAATAACAGTACAGAAATGCAGATTTCTGTAAAACCTCAAACATTTCAAACTGATCAGTTCCTGATTTTCCTCTTTCACAATTTCTCCCTAAGCTCCTCACTGTGTTTTCTTTCTTAGTAAAGTTTCACTTCACTTTCCTGGACTTGCTGTCAGATGATCCTCTCCACGTGAAGCTCCATGTGATGGTAATAGTTGTTCTTCTTGTTAACACCAGCTTTGTTCAGATTAATTCCAGCAGAAACAAAAGAAATCTGCCACTCCATACATCACGCTGACTGACTCACAGCTTGACCCGAGAAGGAGGCGACCTTTAAGCAGCTCGTCTGACATCTTGTGTGAGTTTGAAGAGAATGATTCACATTCAAAATTATTATGCAAAAACTGCCTCATTGTTCGAGGCAGTTTTTGCTCTATTTAGAAATGTCTGGTCTGCTTCTATAACTTAACATCTACTCAATTCCTGTTCTTCACTGTTCTCTTGAAATATTTATGCCTTTTTTTGAATATTTCTCTTTTTGTGCTTTGACAATTTTTACTTCAACCAGTTACAAAAGTACGACTTACTTATTTATGTGCTCCAATATTCTGAAATCTTGCTATTATGATGGCATTAGAAGTTCATAGTTTTTGGTCCAAAACAAAGCCAAAAAACTAAAAGTTAAAGCAGTTGCACAATAAAAACATGTCAGAACAATGACGCTTTTACAGGGGGAAAACAAAAGTGGAAGACACTTTAACCCTTCCTTACTGCTCGTGATAATTCGACCTGTTTTGGCTGCAGAAAAATGTCTTTGTCCAAACCTGATTCAAAATAAACAAAATGAAAATATTCTAAAATTTTATGCCGTCACCACAATGGTGTGTTTAGGGGGTCTTTAAACTCTACATGCTATGTCTGTGTGCATTTTATTCTTTTATGAGATAATGTTAACAGACCTCCAGAGGTCCCTTAACCTCTTAAGCCCCAAGCCTACCTGATCTCCTGCCTTTTGCCCCCGTATCAGGGGGCGTTGGGGCTTAAGAGGTTAACACTTTCACTCATATTGTTGGTGTTTGCACCACTGCTGATCTTTGAAAGATCATGGGGAAATCTCCAAACAGTGGAATAGTAAAACAGAGTAGGAGTGATCACATGCAGTGCACATGAGGAGCAGAGTTCATGCAAAAGTCACATGGTGCCTTGAGAGTGTCTTTACACAGACACGAGATCTGAAACAGGATGACATGGTGGTGCTCTGTGGTAAAGCACTCAGTGTTTGTGGACTGATTAGAAAAGCTGCCTCACAGCAACGAGGTCTGTGGTTTAAATTCTGTCTGGGACCTTTCCGGGTTTAGTTTGCATGTTTGAATCTCTCCAGCATACATGTCAGGTTAACTGGCTATTCTAAAATTGAAGATAAAGTGTTGCAAGAATGTCTGGATAAAGTGGGACTTGTACCTAGTAGTGCTTTGAGTGTTCATTAAGACTAGAAAAGTGCTGTAGGTGCATTACATGCCTGTCTGTTGGTTCTTTTGCTTTGCTCCTCCAAGCACAAATAATGCAAGAAAGCAAACTTATGCTGCAGTTTTATTGAGTTTGCAGTAAGCAAGTTTTGTGTTCTAAATTGTGTTAATGTTGAATTAATATTGACACTAATGGATGTTAAATATGAGGATTTCTTGTGATAGAGAAGGAAGGACAGTATAATTAAATTACTGTGGGTGTTGTGTAAATGCTAAGAAAATGTCTTCTCTGCTCTCTGAAATGTTACTTAAGAATAACTCATTAACTGATTAAGCCCAGATGGGCTAATTATACATCCTAAATAGATCTGTACTTCAAAATTGTTGTGGGCACTTATTACCAGGAAATTCTTGGCAGAAGCCACTGATGACATTAAATATGAGAAGTATTAAGTGTTAAGTGTTAAGTTGGTCTCACAAGTCGTATAGACATCTTACAGTTGTACTGGGGATCCAGATCACATGACTAAAAACTGACTGAACTTCAAATACAGTGCATGTCTGTGCACACTTGACTTTATTTCAAACATACTCCAAAGTAATGACCTGTATCTGTCTACAACTGAATCTGTGCTCTTCTATATACAACTTCAGTAGAATAAATAGCAATTTAAGCCACCGACACAAAGCAGAAAAACCCATGAAAATAAATACAATGCTCACCAGCTTCTCCTAACAGATAAGAAAATACTGTCCCTGTTGGAACTGCAGAAAAACATTCTAACAAAAACACAGGTAAAGGGGATGTTTTCAACACCAAACAACTACCAATTGTCTTACACTTGAAAGTTTAGAAATGAAAATAAAAAATCTATCAAGTGTCAAATGTACAGGTAAAAATGACCATCGAGCTGAGAAGAAAGAAGAGAATAACCTTTCTACTATGTGGGTCTACAAGTTTGGACCTGCTTAGTCTAAAGGTCCTGACGTCCTGTACATGTTTAGATTTTTTTTAAGTACTTTCTGTATTTAGCTTTAAAACTTTCTCAAAGGAGAAGAATTACTAACTGGAAATTAAATTCTAGTATATTGAATAAACAGACATGTGAACAGTTAACAAAAGACATTACAGAGTACCTGGAATTCAGTGATAGAGATAAGATATCCCCACTGATATTGTGGGGATATCTTCCTCTCATCACCGCTCTAGTATTAAAAAATCCAAAGTTGCAAAACTTCAGATGCTGCAGTCAGAACTATTAGACTTACAGGCTACATACAAAAATACTATTGATACTAAGACAAAATTAAAAATTGCAAAAAATAGAAATCAAATTGATGAGATATACACTCAAGATGTCCAAACGAAACTAATGTTGACCAAACAAAGATATTATGATGGGAACTAAATATATGAAACAATTGGCATATAGACTAAGGAAGCAACAAGCAGATAGAACAGTGTACAGGATAAGAGACCCGGAAATTATTATTATTACAATATTGAGGGCTTTATATACCAGATCAACCACAAAATTGAAAATCAGTGGTGAACTTTCAGATGCTTTTAAGCTTGAAAGGTCAACAAAATAGGGATGCCCATTGAATCCACTTTTATTCGCTATTTTTATAGAGCTGTTGGTTCAATGGATTAGGCAGAATAACACAAAAAAAGGGAGTAATATAGCTGGAAGTGAGCAGAAATTGGCGTTGTTTGCAGATGATGTTTTGGTTTACTTATCAAACCCTACCAAATCATTTACGGAGCTTATGTCAGTTCTAAGGGATTATGGGTCCTACTTGGGATATAGACCGAATGTCCAAAAAACACAAGTTCTCAATAGTCATTATAGTCGTCCCCCCCCCAAAAAAATTTGCGCAGCAAACACGAAATAGGTTTGGACAAAAAAACTATTAAATATTTGGGCATTAATTTATCAATGGATCTAATTAGTTTGGAAGAAATTAACTACTCTCCACTTTAAAAAGATATTATCGTAGATATTAGTAGATGGACATTAATTTCTTATCTAAACATCTCTTCTAGAGTGGATAGCATAAAAATGAATACACTCCCAAAGATGTTACACTTGTTCCAGTGTGTTCCTATAGAAAACCCGGATCAATACTTTGTAGAAAAGAATGAAATCTTCTCCAGATTTATATGCGCGGGTAAAAAGCCAAGAGTTAAGTGTAAAACACTTCAGCTTCCCAAAGATAAAGGAGAACTAGGCCTTCCTTGCCTGCATGACTATTATATGGCAACCCAAATAAAGCCAGTGGTGGGCAGGTGTAAGCCTGGGTATCGCTCAAGATGGAGGGAAATCGAGTACTCCTTGGGCGGTAACCTTCCTGTTAGGGCACTGATAGGAGACCACTCAATGTCAAGTTGTTTGAGAGACCCAGGTAACCCTTGGATAATAAGCTTGATGAAGACATGGAATGGATTACTTAAAAAGTATCAATTAAAACAGGGGGCTGGACCCCCTAGGTGGGTCACATACAATTCAGAGTTATTGCTTAGTAAGACTGACTCGGCATTGAAAACATGGGCTAATAAAGGTCTCGCCACATACGGTACCTTCTTAAAAGAGGGAAAAGTGATGAATTTCCAGGACCTTAGGAATAATTTTGGGTTGCAAAATCAAGATTTCTTTTTTCTTTTTTTTATGGGTGGGCACGTTAACGGCATCCAGTAGACGGTCTGTGTATTCAAACCTACCTCTGGCGCCGGTGCCCACCTCTCAATTTTAAATCCATGTAGACATTGAGGGTTCTCGGGAGGGG